AATTCTTATTCTAATGCATACATAATTGTCTATGCCACTCATATAATACTATAACATGCACAACTCATTACAGGCATTTTGTGACATAAATTCAATGTAGTACATGCACATTTTTTTTAAAGAAAGCACTGTCTATGCAGCTCAGATCATGTGACATTTACCCAAGGACAAATGCAAAAGTTGTATGGCGTAACATTTAATGCAACTCTACGTCAGATTATGGCTCACAATATATAGAGGCAGCTGTAAACTGCCTGGTGGAATTTTAAATTGTATTAAAAAGTTAAAAAAGAAAGAATATAAAAATCAAAAGAGCACAGTCATAAAGTGATAAGGGTGATCCAGAGTTAAAATGTTTCAGACAGTAGGGTGTCATTATCCGAGGAAGCACTTTATACCCTTTCACACACAACTGTATAACTCATTAAAATGGGTCTATGGTAAACAAAGGCCTTCCTGCTAATGAGCACAATGCATTCTTGCTGTATTTGTGTTAAATGCAAACATGCAAACAGTTACACATACACAGATCTTGATTCTGTATCTCTACATCTGTGAAAATCGAGCAGAACCAATGGATGATCATAAACATCCATGAAACTACTAAGTAGTTCATATCAGATACTATCCTGCTCATAGTCACAAAATAAACCCCTCACCTTTGCAGAGGTCTCAAACCAGCCCACAAATCCGTTCTCTTTGCAGAACGTATCAAGCTTTGGAATCTGGGAACGCAGACCTTCACGTGACTGGTCAGACTTATTGGCTAGAAGCACAGCTGGGACAGGTTTGCCGTTGCTGAGAGTGACCTTTAAGTCCAGGTCGTCTTTCCATTTTAGCACTGCATCAAACGTGGAGGCTCTGGTCACGTCAAATACTATGAGGGCTCCCACGGCCTCCCGATAGTAAACCCGTGTCATGTTCCCATAGCGCTCCTGTCCTATGACGAACATGGGATGTCAAATTGGAGGTTAAACATCACTCAGACATAAATAGCATCATGTTTTTTTTAAAAGTTATTCTTAATAATAAATCTACTATAAGACTGTGTTGATCTACACTGTCTGTCTGTGTCTGTCTGTGTCTGTGTGTGTGTGTGTGTGTGTGTGTGTGTGTGTGTGTGTGTTTATGGACTTTACCTCAAACTCTCATGTGACTTTAGCACGAGTATGAGACCAGCTGAGATTAACACAAGACACATTCCTTCACATTAACACAAGAAAACTCAGCGGGAAGAGATTTCAGAGAGGCAATAGCATATAATCATTTATCATATTATATTGACCACCAACACTATACAACTGTTGTCTAATACATCTTGTTATTAAATTGCCTTTTGATAAAAACAATTACGCCTATGGAGAGTGCCCATAAACTATTTCAATATGTCTGTGTGTGTGTGTGTGTGTGTGTGTGTGTGTGTGTGTGTGTTTATGGACTTTACCTCAAACTCTCATGTGACTTTAGCACGAGTATGAGACCAGCTGAGATTAACACAAGACACATTCCTTCACATTAACACAAGAAAACTCAGCGGGAAGAGATTTCAGAGAGGCAATAGCATATAATCATTTATCATATTATATTGACCACCAACACTATACAACTGTTGTCTAATACATCTTGTTATTAAATTGCCTTTTGACTAGCACCCTAAATAATGTGAATTCAGCATATTCTAAAGAAAAATAAAATAAAGCCAGTGGGAGAAATCAAATGTTTAACATATACATTAAATATTAAACGTTTTAATAGGATAACGTACCTGCTATGTCCCATAACTGCAGCCGTACCACCGTCTGACTGTCCCAGGGAAGGACTTTAAGAGCAAAATCCACTCCAATAGTTGCGCGATAATGTTGAGAAAATATCTGATGAACGTATCGTTTGATTATTGACGTTTTTCCAACTCCGAGGTCTCCGATGACTAGAACTTTGAATAAATGTTCTTTCTGCATGACGACTTGAAAAACCACCCGGATCATAAACGCACTGACCTACTTTTTGTACAGTTTGCAGCACATGAGTGCTCTTATGTTTCACAGATTATCCATTGATTATTATTGTAGGATTACAGTTTGTAAGAGGCACGCGCTCTTAAGTTTATATAATGCTCAAAGTTAGGTCAAAGTGCTGTCATGTTACTTTGTGCTCGTCCCCCTTATTACTAAATACAAGCACCGTTTGTGTTACAGGCTTTACCTTCCCATTAGCTCCACATGAGAAAGAAAACAAAGTGGACGTATTTCAAAAAAATGAGTAACATGAATAAAATGTATTTTAAAGTCTTTTCTCCGAAGAACACAAAATGTTAAAAGCCACGGATATAGGCTACTCTGCTTCTTCAGCTACTGTAAATTATAGAAGTGATGAACGATGGAAGTCAAGCACGCCACGCCCATGAGTACGTTGCGTCATAGCCACGCCCTGTCTGGAAATAAACTCTATCTATCTATCTA